AAAGCATCCATCCTAGATCCAATTCCTACAGGTTTACTAAAGTAAATTTTGCCAGAAATAACCAAACCTATTCTGTGAATAATAAACTCCTCTCTTAGCCTTGGGTACATCCCAAAAACTCTCAAACTAGCAGTAATTAGACCGCTGATTAAGAAAGCGAACCTCGATCCCTGCGAACTATCAAATGTAACGTTTGAGGCATGGAGGCGGGATGCAAATGCGAGTTGCTTTTATTGAAGTTAGAGTCCATGACAAAAACCAAACCGAACCGAACCACAAGCGAACAAGAGACAAGTTTACATCCACAATGCAAGACAAAGACTGAACAAACACAGGGGTATAAATACACAGAGGGGAAATGAGACACCTGGGACTAATGAGGGGCAGAGCTACAGGCAGGTGGAACAGATAACAAGGGGCAGGACCAGGGAGGAGACAGAGCAACAAAAGCACATGTCACAAGAAAACAAAGGCACATGGCTACAACAGAGGGGAAGAAACAGACACTCAGAGGGACCAAGGAAGAATCCGTGACATCAAATTATAGACCCATCTCGAATCTCCCCTTCATATCTAAGATCTTGGAAAAAGTTGTAGTAAAACAATTAAGCTCCTATTTGCACAGGAATCAAATCCATGAAAAATTCCAATCTGGCTTTAGGCCTTGTTAGTCCTCCTCGATCTTAGTGCGGCATTTGACACAATAGACCACACTATCTTACTAGACAGACTAGAAAACCTTGTAGGAGTAACAGGAACAGCACTTTCCTGGTTAAGGTCCTACCTCACTGATCGCTATCAGTTTGTTAATTTAAACAGTGAATCATCTGTCCTCACAAAAGTAAAGTATGGTGTTCCACAAGGCTCTGTTTTAGGACCTGTATTATTCACATTATATATTATTAACAAGATTGAAGACTGTATAAAAGACATAAAAGACTGTATGTCGAGTAACTTTCTCCTTCTTAACGATAAACAGAGGTTCGATAAAACAGAGGTTCTACTTCTTGGTCCAAAAGCGGTTAGAAACAGACTGTCTAATTTAACACTTAAACTTAACAATTTCTCAGTTGCATCAAGCTCATCTGTAAAAAGCCTTGGTGTCATTATAGACCCTGATCTGTCCTTCGACACACATATAACTAACATTACTAGAACAGCCTTCCTGCATCTCTGCAATATCGCTAAATTGAGAAATGCATTCTCTCTACAGGATGCAGAAAAGATAGTTCATGCATTTATTACTTCAAGGCTAGATTACTGTAATGCCCTGCTGGCTGGATGCCCCAACAAAAGCCTTAACAAGCTTCAGCTAGTCCAGAATGCTGCAGCCAGAGTCCTTACTAGAACCCGAAAGTTTGACCATAACAGCCCAGTTTTATCAACCTTACACTGGTTAACAGTTAAATTTCGCATTAATTATAAAATTCTCTTACTGACTCACGAAGCTCTAAACGGACTCGCCCCTCAGTACCTGAGTGAACTTCTCTCCCATTATGAACCATCACGCCTACTTAGATCACAAGGTGCTGGCTTACTATTAGTACCTAGAATTAATAAAGTTACGTCGGGGGGAGAGCTTTCTCATACAAAGTCCCCCAGCTTTGGAATAATCTTCCTGTTAATGTTCGGGACTCAGACACAGCCTCAGTGTTTAAGTCTAGGCTAAAAACTTACTTGTATAGTCAAGCCTTTGGTAATTAGTTTTCCCTGTCAGTTCTATATCTTCCAGAGTCTCCGCTGCTCTGCTAACACTTTAATCTGCGATCAGTCACCCATTACAGGACTCTCTGTGTTTTTCCTTTCCTTTCTTTCCTTTCTTTTCTGAGTTGAACAGCTGCCCATCCTGTGCGTTCTGATGCTGCTGCCTCTCTGCCTTGATCGGGTGCCACTGCTCACCAGCCCTCTGGACCGGCTTAACCACCATCAAGCTTCATGCTATAACCTCACCCTCACAATCTGACCCCACTGATGCTGCTGTTGCCGCTGCTGCTGCATGAACTAAACTAATCAAATTAACCATTGCTCCACCTGTTTTCTCTGTTTTTGTACTAACAATGTTTACTATCCGGTGTCGACCAGAGGAGGATGGGTTCCCCTTCTGAGTCTTGGTTCCTCTCAAGGTTTCTTCCTGTTTCCCTAGGGAGTTTTTCCTTGCCACTGTCGCCACTGGCGACGCTCATGGGGGCTCGGACCTGGATTTCTTTCTGATTTCTTTCTGTAATGTTGATTTCCTTGTAAAGCTGCTTTGTGACAACACCTGTTGTAAAAAGCGCTATATAAATAAACTTTACTTATTTACTTACTTACTCTGCAGGTTTTTAAGATTAATTTTATAAATGAAGTTATACATAATGTTCTTGTTTTTACACACAGGGCAGCACATCATTTGAGACAGTGTAACTTAGGAAATCTTTTCATCACAATCTTTACTGCATTTCAAACTATACTTGACAAGTTAACACAAAATTATAATATTATTTTACAATATTATTCTTTATTGTTTCAGTGGTAAGTATGTTAAGATTTTAAACAATAACTGAGATTAAACTTAGTTTTCCCTAGGTAAACAAACTGTCCCAGGCTCTTGCTGACCCTCCCTGCCTTCACGTCTTCCCTGTACTCCTCTGTTGCTCCTGTCACTCTTATTTCTTATATTTCCTACATTTATTCTTTGCATTTCTCTGAGTTCATCTCTTGCTGAGCTCTCCATTTTTTTACTGGTTCTATGCTTCTCTTCTCTGTAATAAATACTCTTAGTTGGGCCTTAAGAGCTGCTGATATTGTTTAGCACTGAAATGCTGTCAGTACATTTATTGAAACAAAAGTGAAATAAAGACAACTTCTCTATTTTTTTAAAGAAACGAGAATCCTCTCTCACAGCAAATCACTGTAAAAGATGTATATTAGAATTATACATTCATGTTTCTCTGAGTTTTAATCAGACTCAGATCTTCAACACTGTTACACTATTACAAGAAAGCAACTTTTACTGACATCTTACATTAAATAAACATTACAACCCCATGAAAAATAAAGTGCTTTGAGCTTAACTGTATAAAGCCTAAACTAGCCTAAATAGTGGTCATATCTGTTGGATTAGGGGCTATTTTACACTTTGTGATCAAAATAAAATTACATTTCACAATAAATGCATATTTTGCACTTGAAAACCTCAGATGATTGCCAGGTAGGCTTGACACACCTCACTTTACCAGATGTGCCAAAGCGATTCACAGACAGACTTCACAACTATTCCAGTAACACTTTACAAAACTGTTTCATGAGTAACTAATCAGGAACTAAGCAGGTAAGAATAAGTAGTGCTGCATTAACACTTAAGTATTATTAGCTCCAAAGAAGTACTAATTAATTACGCAGTAGGTAATAGTGAACTAATGATTAGGGTAGTTCACTTTTAACTAAACAGTTAATAGTGAACTAAAGATTTACACATGGTAACAGCAACTCCTCATTCATTATCAAACAAACAGTAATTATATAATCACTTAATAACATTTAGAACTAAGTGAATTTGAAGGTGGGACACATACACAGCCGTATATTTCTGTGAGCCTCTCTTCAACTGACTGCCCTCAAGAGGACTTTAAAGGAGAACTACTGTTCAGAAGAAACAACACTGTCACACCTGGTCCTGCAGAAAAACACTGTGTTTTCTAAAGATGAGAGGTGAGCAGACTGGTCTACTGAACACTGTAGTATTTTAGCAGTTGCCCCATTTGGATGCTGATGTACAAATTGGTTCACACTGCCAAATATGAAGATGTGCATTAGCCTTTTAAGGATTCTGATCAAAACAAACACAAGAGGGACACCAGTCAGTACAGTGTGGATACATGTATCTGTAAATAATAATGGAGAATATAATCTTTCATATTTTAGAGTCTACACACTGTGTAGTGTATTTCACTACTGTTAGAAGTGTTGGAATACACTACATTAGTTAGTAGTTAGGAACCTTGTAATACTCAGCTATTAAGTAACAAATGTTCAGTGATCAGTAATTTATGAGCAGTTATTCTAGGAAACCATTGTTACTAAGTAATTCTCTATGAGACTTGGTTATTGTTGGTGGTTATTGTTTAGTTAATAGTAAAGTAACAATCATTAGTTCACTATTACCTACTGAGTAATTAATTAGTACTTATTGATAATTAATAGTTGTTACTTAAGTGTTAATGCAGCACTACTCATTCATCCCTGCTTAGTTTCTGATTAGTTACTTATTAACTATGAAAGAGTTCTGTGAAGTCTTACCACTATTCATAATTAGCCATGCAAATGAAAACTACAATGGTTTGATAAAAAGCAACTGCTTCCAAAAATACAACACAATAAGTGCAAAACAGCTTGTTGTAATAACAATATCTCATAAGAAAGAGAACCAATAAACAAATTATTTTGTTAAGAGTAACATTGTGAACAAAATGCACAAATCTCACATCATATTTTCCTTGTTTGATTCAAACTTCCAGAATCTTTAATTCATCAAAAACTAATGAGAAACTAATCTGCTAACTGCTCAGCTCTCAGACGCTGGTTCTGAATGTTTCTTTGAGGTTTTCTGGAACATTCGCTCATCTAACAACAGCTATTCCAACAGAACTTACCAACATAGACAACTAAGCTTTTGTAAAATGCATCCCAGATCAAACGATCTGAATATTACAGCACAGCACCTTATAAATTCTGGTGAGTGACGCTCTGATGGTTTGGTTCTCACATGAGGCGTTTTGTCCATGAGAAAGTGAAAAATAAATCACTTTCACAGAAAATGAAGTAAAAGTACTTTATTAGAAATGAGGTCAAGCAAAAGTACTCTGATTTTATTATACTCTAAAAGTCACTCAGTGCACTCAAGCACTGTCAAAAGATTAAGTTCTTCAGTACTTTCCACCTTGTTTTTGTGTGTCATCCTCATAACATCTTCTGTTGGTATGTTTGTGTGTTTATACAGAGACAGTAATTCAGTAACTCACTGTAGTTTCTCCAGTTTACATTGTGGATCCTTCAGTAGATCAGAGAGCAGCTTCACTCCTGACTCTTCTGGTTTATTGTAGTTCAGATTCAGCTCTCTCAGATGTGAGGGGTTTGATTTCAGAGCTGAAACCAGAGCAGCACAACCTTCCTCTGTAATACTGCAGCCAGACAGACTGTAGAGAGAAGAAAAACTCACATCTTTATTAACATTCATAAACATCATTTCGACACACAAACAGAATAAACATAGATAATTAGAGCAACACGAACTACAAAACTACATAAAACTATAACCAAATTCACACACATACACACGTACATTCTTTCTCCCTCATATACACTCTCTCTCACACACTCATGCACATTCTTTTTGTCTGCCATATTTTAATGTCAACCTCAAGCCACAAAAAGATTGTAAAGAATATAAAATTAAAAGTAAACAAAGCTTTTCACAAAGACAAAATCAAAACCACAAAGCAACATTTAAAATGCTTAATTACAAAACACATTAAACTAAACTAAAAAAACACAAAACGTTTACAAAACATAATATAATCAAACATTTTGTTGGCAGATTTGAGTATCCAGTAATTATTTCTTAATTTTATAATTTTACAAAATAAATCAATGATTGTAAATTATTTTAAATCAGCAGGGAGAGAATTTCAGTCATGTGTGAAAATAAAATCCAGACTGACCAAAAGCCCTTTTTCTAAATGGTATTATGCAGTCATCTCATGTAATTGCCCTTGATGACCTGTTTTTGATCCTACAATCAAACTCTCCAAATACTAAAAGGATGAGACCACTTAGAATTTTAAAAAGAAAACGTAAAGCTGTGAATTCAGTTTCACCTCTAAATATTTAAACTCACACATGACTCTAAACTTCTTTTCTTTTACAGATACTTCTGGATCAATATTAGCATCAACCTAATTTACAAAATCATACAGATGGTTTCCTCATTCATTTATTTTCAACATTCAAATGTAAATAAGATTTTGTCACATCAATGTCTGTATCACTGCATCTAAAAGCTGCTTTTCATTTTCATGCACATAAATAACTGTGTCATCTGCACAGATCTGACAAATAACGGTAGGAGGTCAGACATCTGGAAGGTCACTGACATCTAAACTAAATAACAATAGTCCCAAAACTGACCCTTGTGGAAGTCTGACCTCATAATTTAAGTATGAAGATGATTAATTATATATTTATACACTTTTCTTTCTTTTCTATAAAAAAGACTTAATCTATTTAATAGTTGCTGGTAATATATTAACAAGTTAAAAACCTGTCAAGTAAAATTTTATAATTTACTGGCTTTCCTTAAATAAAAACGTACACCAACCATGATTTTTTCATCCCCTTAAAACATAAATAAATAAATAAAGAATAAATACAAATAGCAATGAGCAGATTTTTTGCAGTAATATCTCCTAAACTGAAACTGCAGAGGATGAAGAGTAACAGGGCTGTTAATAAATGCTGCCCATTTTTCTGCAAATTTAGATCAGACAGAGAGGAGCTTCTGGGCCTGTAGGTGTTAATATCAATGTGATTTTCTGATTTATAAACTTCCACACAGTAGGAAAACTCCCTGTTTAATTGATCGATTTAAGAGCCTCATTAATGTAATGAAAACAGTAATAATTACATCAGCTTTTGATTTAGAAACCCCTTTCAATAAGAACACAGACAAAGTGGTATTAGTTGAATCTGATATGAAATACTGATCAGCTAAACTAGAGATTTCAATAACACTTTAAATTGAATTCATAAAACATAAATTACATTTCCCCATATTATCAGTGTGAGACTGAGAACTAAGCACAATGATGCTTTAATAATCTTTTTTCTCCAGTGTTTACCAAGGGTGCCAATAATTATGGAGCTGACTGCATGTTTGCAATAACATTAGATTAGATGAATTAGATGTTTCTGAACATTTTGGGGCCATATGTGACATCCTGCTGGGGGTCCCTAAACCACCCCCAACTCAGTTCATTTTTATGCAGGTATGAGTGCACAATAATATAATAAATAACTATGAACATTATAATTAGGTTCTAGATAGCACCTAGATAGAACCTAAATAGCAAACATACACACAGAGGTGGGTAGAATCTGCTACATTTACTCAGTTATGTGTCTTCAACACACATGAAAACTCATGAGCATCAAAAAAGGTGACAGGTTCAGAAACCAATCTGCTGTACTGGGCCAGCAGCATCATTCCACTATAAAGTTTTAGTGATTTTAAGATGGAAATTCTGTGGAATCACTTAGTTTACTGAGATACACATACAGGTCGTGTTCATGTGCTGTTTTCTGACTATTTTAACGTTATTAGAATAAATCTGTAGTTTCTCATCGTGCTAAGGCCATACATTCAACATGTGTGAAATTTGGCAGAGATCTTCTTTTGAGTCCCTACATCTGTTATAAACAGAGATCATTCTGCCCATCTTTTATGTTCTACTGGCTCTAAAACAGCACATCATGCTTGGATCATTATTTATGATGTAATTTACAGACAGTTGATAAGTTCACACAGCTGTTACAACAGACCACAGAAATAAACTAAATCTATTTCAGTTTTGAAGTTTTAGTTGATTATTTTCACTACAAACAATGATAATTTACACATCTGGGTGGTGAAGGTGTGGAAAGACTCAGAACAAAGAGCTTATAGCAGAAGATGTGCACAGGGAGGTAAGAGCTCTTTCTCAGTGCAGAAGTAAAGGCTTAAATCATCCACACTGAGGAGTCTGAGCTCTGCACTGACTCTTTACAGAACAATCTTCAAATATAATCCTCACTGAGACACATATAACAATGTGGGCTACTGTGGGGTCTGTATGCAGAACACAGTCATGATACAAACACTGTAACAATAACACAAAGCTAACATTATTGCTGACCAACTGGACAGAATAACTACCATTACAGTATCAACAGGGAACAACAGATAATCCACACAGACACTCAAGCAGCACTGTATGATAATAAATACACTGAAAACAAAAATCAACATTTCGTGATGGAACGACTGAAGAGCTGTTCAGGTCATGAACCATCTTACAGTCAGTGCAAAGAAATTGGGAGGTTCTTGCTTTAATAGCCCTGAGTCTCTCAGATGATCAGTTCACTACACTGCAAAATCAAGAGTGTGAACTGGTGTTAATTGTCCAGTGAAAATTATTTTGTGTTGATTTGGGTGTTAACTGTGCACCTGCAGTGCTGAATTAATTCTGGCGGTGGTGATCTTTAAGCGAGTTAACTGCATAAACTCCTGACTGAGTTAATTCCACATCTAATTTTAACTGACGCTTTTTCTTGAGCTTACAGTAAAGGCTGAGAAAACCCAGAACCTGGAATACACGATTTAAAAAGGTAATGACTGAATATATTTACTTAAGCTGTTTATCGTTACATAAACTAAAGGTTAACGTCAAGTGGGGTGTGACGTGATTTTATATGTGTTACTAAGCTGGTGGATAGTAGCTAATTTAGTTTTGCATGTTTGTTAGCTGTTTCAGTGTTATTTGGAAGCCCAAATTTAAAGGTGGAGTAGGTGAATTTATGGAAACCATGAAGTGTAAGATTGCTTTTTAAAAAAATCCAAATGAAGGAAGGCTGAAAGTAGGGTGATCTTAAAGCGAGTTAACTGCGTATAATTATATTTTTAATTCCATGCAGTTTTTAATTATATTACATATAATATAATTACTATATAATTATATTTTTTAATTATATAGGTTTAGATTAATACTTGAATTTAGATTTATTTGTGTTCCTATCTCTTTGGGAAAATTTGTTTATATTATATATTTATGAAGAAAAATGAAAGAACATCAGCCAATATATCAGATATATCAGATTTTTAAATCCTCAAATATCGCTTTCAGTATCAGCCTTAACAGCCACACTATCTGTGATAATTTATAGTCTTAATAACATAATTAATCTAAAACATCAACAGAACAGTCAAACAAAACTCAACTACATTTCACTGAATTGATATTGTTTGTATATTTTCTCCCTGACTTTTCGAGATGAGGCATAACAAACAACCAAATATTAATTTCAATGCTCAGATGTTGGGCATTTGAACCAGTTAACTGAGTACTCGAGTACCTGTTCACATCCCTAGAAGGAAGAGAGGAGGAGGGTCTTGTGGGGGAGCATCAGGAAACACTAGGGAGGCAGGCCCTGCCTCTCAGACTGAAGCTGCATGTTGTGGTGGAGCCTCATGGTGCTGCACTCAGCTCATTACAGATCTTTTCCCCACAGACATCCAGTCAAAATCTTGAACCTGTTTTGTATTAAATAAATGCTCCCATATGAAGCAAAACAAGCTCTAATAGTTCACACTGCCACTGACTGCTGCTCCGAAATGTCCACACTGTACCCCTGACTGGACCATCACTGTGCACCAGTGCACCCTGATGGACGAATCGCTTCACCTGGACTGAATTATTACATTTTGTCTCACTAAAGTAAATTTTTAGGGGGCTTGCACGATTTGAAACTCCACCCTTCAGAGCTCAACACAGCCAAAGTGCACTACTGGTTGAGGATTTGTGTGTCCAAGTTCAGCAGAGATAACTTATTCACTCTGGAAGCCTGAGATGTGAAACTGTTCATACAGTAAATTACAATGATATTAACATTATTTTGCTTGAAACATTTTGCTGACTGGACTGTTACAATAAAATCAAGGTTTTTTATCATTTGTAAAAATTATATCTTTTAAAAAAATCTATTACAAACATACACACATAATACACACACACACACACACACACACACACAGATTGAGAAGCTCGTAGTCAGGGTTGAGTTGAATGCGCTTTCTGGGGAGATAATACAAAATTCTATACGTTGGTATTCAGACCTCATACGTATCTGTGAAGTTGCACACTTTTCAGACACGCTGAGAGTTTGTGTCTCAGTCTCAATCAGATCCAGAACTTAAGCGCATTTCTTTTGTGTGATATTCACTCTCACAGTGAGCTGAATTAAAGTCCAGCTCCACTGTAACACCGTATGTTGTAAACACAATATTTTACGCTGTAGGTTCACATTTCTGGGTGGTAAAAAGTTCAAAATGACTGAGGCCAATACTGAACATACATAATCACATAAACAAATACAATAACTTGTCCAAACAAACAAATAATATAAATGAAATATTAAGGTTTTTTTATGTAATAAATATTTAATAATAGTAATTCATTAATAATAATACTTCATTACTAATAAAAGTGTTTCCTATGAAGAATAAGTTGAAAAATATTTTCACTTAGAAAATCAACAGAACAAAGTCTTCATTCTTTTTATGAAGAGAAATCTATTCTCTTATTTCCTGCTCTTGGGGATTCACTGTGTTCAGGGATTATTACTGTCATATACAACATGTCTGTCCAGTTCAGTCAGTGCAGAGTGAGGTAAGTAAAAGTACAGCACATACTGGAAAGAGTTTCATTTAAATGTTACTTTTCTATTTTTGTGTAAGATTTTTAAGTAATTTCTGATTCTATTCATGTATGTTTTTGTGCATTTTATTTTATTGTTTAAAGCCCAACTGTATTTTGTCCCATTAGGTTCTCTTGTTGCAAAGAGACATATTGAGAGTTCACAAATATATAAATGCCAAAATGTGTGAGCAATAGATTTTCGTAACTAAGAACTAAACTTGTTCACTATTATTGGATGTATATTTTAATCTAAAGGTGATCACTTTATTAGTGTAAACATTATTTTTTTAAACATCTGATTTTAACTAGTTGGCTGTGTGTGATGCTTATAAGCTACATCATAATACAACTGATGGCATATTTCCCTCCTGAAGTGTTCTGCTTTATCAGTTTTATATCAGCTGATTTCTTTGGATTTAAAGACTATTACTGGTTTTAAATGGAGGTGCTTAAGTGCTGGCAACCTTGGAGGCCTGGACTACACACTGGTAATTCCAAAAAGAAAATCAACTTGAACACCTGCATAGCTTGAGTCTGACTGAATAACTCCAGCGCATCTACTGACATGTTCAACTTCAGAACTTGGAACATTCTTCCTGAAGAGTGTGTATAATTAACTTAATTCAGTAACTCACTCTAGTTTCTTCATCTTACAGTGTGGATCTTCCAGTAGATCAGAGAGCAGCTTCACTCCTGAGTCTCCAATTTTTTTCTCATTTAGATTCAGCTTACTTAATTGCGAAGAGTTGCAGATCCTGCAGAGAGAATGTTTGAAACTTGTAGATCTGTTTAATCTCCTATTTCTGTTTGTGTATGTGCATCTTTCAAGACACAAAAAGTCAGTAACTCACTGTATTTTCTCCAGTTTACAATGTGGATCCTTCTGTAAATCAGAGAGCAGCTTCACTCCTGACTCTCCTAGTTTATTGTAGTTCAGATTCAGCTCTCTCAGGTGTGAGGAGTTTGATTTCAGAGCTGAAACCAGAGCAGCACAGCCTTCCTCTGTAATACTGCAGAGTTCCAGCCTGCAGAGAGAAAAAACTCACAGTTCAGCACTTGTACAGACAAATGTACAAAACAATAAAATGAACTCTTGCACTCAAAATCATGCTGTTCAAATAGTAAACTCCTCTTAGATGGTTAATTTTATTGATATATTGTGTTATATTTGTTATTGCAACACAATTTTTTTCATTTTTTATGAGCACAGACTTTTCTGATGTGTGGAGCTGTTAATCCTCTAGTAAAGCTATTCAGTCCAAATCTGAGCAGGTGAAAGGGAGTGGCTAGTGTCACTACTGACAAACACTGAATCTAACCTGCTCTGTGGCGTGTTGTACTGCAAGCCTGCTAGTTAAGCTAGTGCTAACTTCATAACCAGCCCCACTGTAGCCTCCTAGTAAGCACCATTTAACAGATAACACTTACTGGGCGATAAGGTAAAAATCTAGTGGACCTTCTGTTACAGTGGGAGCTATTTTTTTCCTTTGTTTTTTACTCTGATTATCTGTCAAATTTGCTTAATATTGTCAAAAGTCAAATGTATTTATATAGAGTTTTTTACAACAGGCATTGGCACAAAGCAGCTTTACAAAAAATCAGGAAGAGGAAACAATGTCTATGATTAAACAGTTTGTGAGGCAGTTGAAGTAACGCCTATAATTAAATAGTGTATGAGGCAGGTTAGGTAACGTCTATGCTTAAATAGTTTGCGAGGCAGAGGAAGAAATGCTTATAATTAAATAGTTTGTGAGGCAGAGGAAGAAATGCTTATAATTAAATAGTTTGTGAGGCAGGTGAAGTAATGTCTATGATTTCATAGTTTGTGAGGCAGGCGAAGTAATGTCCATGATTAAATAATTTGTGAGACAGGTGAAGTAATGTCTATGATTAAATAGTTTGAGTTAGTGCAGCAGCAGGATCATCAGGAGGGTCAGAGTTATGCAGGTGAAGCACAGCGTTGGACAGCAGATACAGCTGTGCATAAATATATATATATATATATATATATATATATATATATATATATTTCAAAAATAATACATAACTATCAAATTATAGGAATGTTTGCTAAAGTTTGTTGCCTCGAAGTGTGATTGTCTCTTCTGAAATACATTATGTATATTAATTTTATTATAACTTCATGCAGTCATTATAGAATATTCTAGAATATTCTACAGTAATAGAGATTAATAATAATGATGACTACTATGTTCTGAAGGCTAGGAATTCAGTAATAGTCTATTAGCTTCAATCAGTATCAGACTGATAAGATTAGAAAAAGGGTTCAATAAAACAACATTAATTGATCCCAAAGACAGGAAACACGGTCGACCCTGAATAAAAATCAGTGGCAGAGATTGTTCCCACACTGTACTGATGGTGTGTGAGTGTATATTTATAATGATGGGCCTTTTATCCAACACCCACAGAGATAAACACACACAGTAAACAAATGTACGATCTGTGCTCATCTGATTATGTTTGTACACTCATGCAAAAATGTAGGCACCCCTGGTCTAAGTGAAAATAATTACACACTTTTGCACATTTTAATGCACAGTTACTGTTTATTTGCTGAAAGTAGCATGCTGGGAGAAAATAATATATAAAATGTTGCTGCGCAAAAGATGAAGTATTTTTTAAATTGTAAATTAATTTTTTCCAAAATGAGCAAATGAATAGAAACTGTGCACTAAAATTTAATGTGTTACATTTCACCTCATGTTCTGTTGCGACTCACTCTGACTAATATGTAAAAGCAAATGAAAAGCAAATCAAATTGAGTCATGATATTAAAATCAAAAGGCCAATAACATTTTTGATTTTTCATATTCTAACTATCTACCCAATCACAGAAGGCTGTATTCTACCCGTGGAGAGTATTAAAAACAGTAAATGTACATGGGGCAGAGAATAATCATGGACAGAGGCTACAAATTAGCTTTAACTAGAAGCCCTGTATGCATTATATCTGTTGCATTTCAAGTAGCAATGTTTTTCTGTATTGTGCTTGTTAAATAAATATATATATATATAAATCTCTAACATTTATATGTGTGAGTTTTTGTTTGTATTTCTCACATAAATACATGTATAACATTGTATGAATCAGAGTTTCTCAACCACTGTGATGGGACACAAATGAGCAATCTGATCTTTAAGCCAGTCAGAATTCTCAAGTTTTCCATGTCAGCCCCTGATAAAGGTCATATTTAAGAAACTAAGCTAAGCAACTGTGAACATTCATGCATTTTAGGGATAAACAGATGGAACTTGAGGTGGAAAGCATTGAGAACCCCTGGTATAAAGAGCACTGCTCTAAATTTGATGTGTTTTTGTGTGTTTGTGTGTAAAAAAGCAAGAATTCACTCACTGTAGTTTCTCTAGTTTACAGTGTGGATCCTTCAGTAGATCAGACAGCAGCTTCACTCCTGACTCTCCTGGTTTATTGTAGTTCAGATTCAGCTCTCTGAGGAGTGAGGGCTTTGATTTTAGAGCTGAAACGAGAGCAGCACAGCCTTCTTCTGTAATACTGCAACATTCCAGTCTGTAGAGAGAAGAAACTTCTTAAAATTACCACTGAAAACAAACACACAACAATGTAGAAGACAAAAAGATGAAAAAAACAAATTCAACTACCATGCAGACCTTGAAAATTCACCAAGCACCATAAACTAGCAAAAAACACTAAACAATAACACACACACACACACACACACACACACACACACACACAACAATAATGAAAATAAACTTTCCTAATACAGAACAACCTACACAAATCCCCGTCTCTCACACTAAAGAAAAATTATCAACATTTCAGAAAAAATGCGAGACTACCTGTAAACTTTCTCTATACAGGTTTCGCTTCCACCCATATAACTGGATTTGATCAAAGAAAAATGACTGAATATGTCCATCTGTCTTACACATGTGATTTCATAGCTTGGGATTTAACCTTTTCAGTAAAAACAAAATGATACCAATACATACAGTAATGAATGTAATGTAATAAATGGGAAAACATCAATAAATCAGTTCACAACAGTGCAACAAAAAAAAAGTACTCACACAACTTTTCTGGATGCTTTGGCCACTGGCAGAAGCCTCAGAAGACATTCCTCTGATGGATCAAATTTACTAAGGTCAAACTCATCCAGCTCCTCTTCTGAATTCAGCATCACAAACGCCACAGCTGACCACTGAGCAGGAGAGAGCTCAGCACCACTGAGACCCCTGGAACCTCCTCTGTTCAAGTATGTTTGAACTTCCTGCACTAGAGAATGATCATTCAGTTCATTCAGACAGTGGAACAGACTGATTGTTTTCTCTGGAGAGGGATTCTCCCTGATCTTCTCCTTGATGTACTTGACTATTTCCTCTTCACTGTAAGAGCTGTTTCCTGTCTGTGTCATTAGGCCTCGTAAAAGGGTCTGATTGGACTCCATTAAGAGGCCCAGAAGGAAGCGGAGGAAAAGGTCCAGGTGTCCAATCTCACTCTGTAAGGCCTCGTCCACTGCACTCTTGAGGAAATCAGACATTGTTAACTTTTTAAAGAAACCAGAAGATCTAGTGGTTTGCTGTAGCAGCACATTTGTGTTGTTGGAGATGAAGTTAAGAAATGCATATAAAGCAGCCAGAAACTCCTGAACACTCAGATGTACAAAGCTGAAAACCTTCCCCAGGTGCAGCCCAAACTCCTCTCTGAAGATCTGAGTACACACTCCTGAGTACACTGACACTTCTCTGACATCAATGCCACACTCTCTCAGGTCTTCCTCATAGAAGATCAGGTTTCTTTTTTCCAGCTGTTGGAAAGCCAGGTTTCCCAGTGCCAGAATCATCTTTCTAGTCTGTTTATGATCAATGTCACTTTTTCTGTGGTACTTTTGGCTGCTGTGTTTGATCTGAAAGATCAGAAAGTGTGTGAACATTTGAGTCAGAGTCTTGGGGATCTCTCCACTCTCTGCTTCACCCAACATCCTCTCTAGAACAGTGGCTGCAATCCAGCAGAAGACTGGGATGTGGCACATGATGTAGAGGCTTCTTGAGGATTTCATGTGTGTAATGATTCTTTCAGAAAGGCTCTGATCACTGATCCTTTTCCTGAAGTATTCCTCTTTCTGAGGGTCACTGAACCCTCGTACCTCTGTTACCTGGTTAATACAGTCAGGAGGGATCTGATTGGCTGCTGCTGGTCGAGTAGTTATCCATAGGAGGGCTGAGGGAAGCAGATTCCCCTTGATGAGGTTTGTCAGTAACACATCCACTGAGGCTGACTGTCTAACATCAAATACGCTCTCATTGTTCTGAAAATCTAGAGGAAGTCGACATTCATCCAGACCATCAAAGATGAACATGACTTTATAGTCATAAAAGTCTCTTGTTTTTAATTCTTTTATGTCTGTGAAAAACTGATGAAGAAGAGCTAAAAGACTGAGTTTCTTCTTTATCAAATTCAGTTCTCTAAAAGGAAGTGGAAATATGAAGAGAACATCCTGATTGGCTTTTCCTTCAGCCCAGTCAAGAATGAACTTCTGCACAGAGACTGTTTTTCCAATTCCAGCGACTCCTTTAGTCAGCACAGTTCTGATGGGTTTGTCTTTAAAGATGTCGTTGCATTTGATGGGCGTCTCCTGTGTTGCTGGTCTCCTGGATGCTGTTTCAATCTGTCTGACCTCATGTTCATTATTGAACTCTCCACTCCCGCCCTCTGTGATGTACAGCTCTGTGTAGATCTCCTTCAGAAGTGTTGAGGTTCCAGGATTTGAAATTCCTTCATTAATGTTTTTAAATTTTTCCTTCAGTGTGGATTTGAGCTTTTGATGACAGGAAGGAGCCAGTTCTAATAAAAATTACTGACAATTAATGTTCTGTGCTATTATTATGAAACACACAATATAACACATTATGGTGTCATAATAAAAGGATGTTCACAAAATTAAATGTAATAGATCTTCAGTGGTTATTAATTATTGACACAATATCAATTTAAACTTTTGAGTTTAGAATGAATTATCACATGATCTCTTACTGCTCTGTAGTGTGTTAGCGAGGTCTGTCTGGTTCATGTTCCTCAGGACGTGCAGTGTGATCTTCAGCGCCCCCTCTCTGACACTTTGACCCTCCTCATCCTCCACCTCTCTCTCAGAGCATGCTGGGTAATCCAGATTCAGAAGCTTCACAAATCTCTTCAGCTGTTTCTTTACCAGAGAGATGACTTTGTGCTCCAGCTCCTGATTAAAACACAAATGAGAACAGAAACAGGTTCCTGTTAGCAAGTTCAAGGTCAGCCATAATATTCATGATATAATTTAATAATAAATATAATAAATACACTAATTATTTATACTTAACATACTTTTTCGTCATATTTCATACAGTTAAAGTGGCCACCAACACTTCTGACATGCGTATCTGGTTTTATGTTAAATACAAAGCATTTCGAAGATGAAAACAAAGTAACCCATCTACATGTTAGTGAGCAAGTAAACATCTCTTATTTTTGGCTGGGGGTCCTTTACCATTACATCATCATTACTTTATTATTTATATTCTGTTACACCACATGGTGGAAACCTCGGTATCACTGTCTATGATCACAAGTTAAACTGCCCATCATTACTGTGGACATAATGCTGTAAAATGAATATATTATCCAAATTTCCCCGTTGTGGGATTAATGAAGGATTATCTAATCTAATCTAATCTAATCTAAAAGTAACATAGCAGCTCAGAACTGAAACATCTAGAGGAGTGAAAACAGCTTTCACCATCATTTTTACATGTCATACATGCACACTCTGACATGAGTTATACATACAGACCTTGAATATGGACTCCATTCTTTTCCTGGTCACTTCTGGTGTCTCCTTTTTGCCTCTGTTGACAAACAGAACAGTATGAACAGCTTATGGTGAACAATCTGAACAGAACATTAGGGGCCAAAGTCCATTTTGTACATGCAAAATCTCTCACAGCTAATTTATTACTGTGTGTGCAGAAGCCTTTTTATCCATCCACATAAGGTCAGTAATGAGCTATGAGTTTTAGAGCACCTGACTTCATGCTTGGGGTGAGCAGTAAACCAGAATAAAAGTGGATACTGGTATGATGTTCTATCATGATGTGAATGTTGCAGTACTGTGATAAACCCAAACACCGAGAACCACAAATAATGCTGTCCCCGAGACAAAGTAAACATGAGCATGAACAGCTTAAATAGCTCTTATAAATTCAACAAAATGGTGTTTTAGACAAAACCGAATGCTGATTGCAGCCACTCCTACGTTAATCAGTATAGGTTTTCGAATAAACCTATCATTTGAAGCATCATGTTGAGTTTTGCCAGTCATGCTGTGCAGTGTTCAAGCATTTTTACTTTGTGAGACTTTCCATTTTAACTTTTTTGTTTTGCTGTGTTGGACCAGAACCATGGCTCTGTGTTGGAAAAAAAACAGACTTATCCCGTCACTCAGGGTTGCCAGATTCATGGTTTCCCCCACAAATCTGTCTAGTTCTAAAGTGCAATGCAGGTAGAACTTATACTACAGTGGCGCAGAACGTCTTTATTTGGACTACTAAATATACTACTGTTTTAATAAATACATGTTACACCCTTTTTCAGACGTTCAAGTTTGGACACATTTTGAGTTTAAAACTGCTTGTGTTTACTCCAGACAGCATTAGGTCTTGTGATTGAGCGCTCATTTTAAGCCTAGTGGATCAGGAAACTGTTAAGCATGTCAAAGAGGAACAAATCAGATCATAAAACTCATCCAACAGGTGTGGAGTAAACTTAATGTTTTAAACTTAACAAGCCTGGAATAGTTAATTATATTTGCTAGAAAAGGAAAGAGTAAAATATTATTTTAGACACCAAAGTGCAGAATGGAATTGAGGATGAATGTTTTTAGCTCTTCAAACATGAGGAGAGGCTACAGCAGAGAACGACTAAAAAAACTGCTTCCATACTGAAAAAGCTACTGCAGTGTGTGCTAGTATTTACACAATGAAGAACACTTTTTAGTAGCTACTACTGCAGCTATTATAATAATAATAATAATAATAATAATAATAATAACAATAATAATAATAATAATAATAATAATACGAAGAAGAAGAAGAAGAAGAAGAAGTAATAACAATAATCATTATTTTGCAGTGTTTTGTTATTATTAGTATTATTATTATTATTATTATTATTATTATTATTATTATTACGACTGTTACGGTTCTTTTTTTCTTTTTTTTTTTTGAAGTAGTGACATTACAACATTATTTTCTGATTAGTAGAAAATACCATGATATATGGTATACATGATGAAGTTCACATCACCCACCTCTACTTCTTGAATATGCATTTATGCTATGCATATTAACCACCTGGAGTGATTTACTAACTTAAACTGACAGGAAATTTTGTTGTTTTAATGCAAATGAAAAGAATTTACACTTAGGCTAAAAATGTAGAGAATAAAGATTTGTTATTAAGATCTGTGAGCAAGCTTTTCTTCTCATCTCTTCACTTACAAAATGCATAATTCTACTAATTTTGGATTTCATTGATTTAGCAGCTTTCTTACATTGTTTGTTTCACTTTGCACTGTGTATATACTCAAAACAAACAAAACATGCAGAGTATATATATCAAATATATTGAAAAATGCATGAAAATGGCTAAAAATATTTAGTGCACTTAGTGCAGGATTATAAAAAGATGTCCATGCAGTTTTTTGGGTGTGTGTGGTCCACATTTTAGCACTTATTTCAGGTTTTAGCTCTGGAAAACAGTGAGTATATATTCTAATGATGATATACATGAGTACCTTGTTTGCTGCATGCACTGAAGCTGACATACTGCCATACCACACACAACAGTACAGCATCAACTCTATACTAGACAGATTCTCTATTTCATTGGCCAACTCACTCCTCACATGATGAGTCCACTCAAAACAGCCAGTCTGATCAAACACAGCAATCACACAGTCACATGAAGGCCTGCAGATCCCTTCAGAGATCAAACATGCTTATGTTTACCGGCAGTTGTAATTACAACAATTCTTTATTTGTGTCTCTGAAGTGAAAACTCCAGAAGATGTGGTGAACAGGTATCAGGCGTTTAAGAAAACACATAGTGTCACCAGAAGCTGTGAGCATCACGATGTGGACCGCAACACCATCGCCATGACAACAGTCATTGCGGAAGTCTACATTAATGGGGAGAAAGATGGAAAAAGGCATGTTTGCATTTTACAGCTCCGATACCATTTAGTTTCACTGTAATTATAGCCTGTAACATCATACTGCCCTGACCACTTAAAAACATAACAGGTAAGAAACAAAGTAGAAACAAGTGAATTAGTATTTTACAACACGAAAACCACATGATTTTAGCAAAACTACTGCTTTGTTTTTGGGCTAATAATAAATGCCCTTTTGATTGATGGGCAATCAAAGTTTGTTTCCATTATTTTTCCACTTTTTTATCAACTAGTCATCACTACATTTACTGACTTATTATTTAAGAACAAGAAAATTTGCATGAATTTTCTAGGTAAGTAAAACTTGTTACCGTTATTTTACTATTTTATTACTGACCATGGCTACAATGACTAACGTCTTATTTTTTAATGACTAACAAATGTGCATGTAATTTTTAGGTAAATACAACTTATTACTGTTATTTATTCATTTTATTATTAATTTGTTACTGCTACAATAACTCACCTATTATACATTAAGAACTAGAAAGTAAGCATGCAATTTTTAGGTAAAAACAACTTGTTACCTTTATTTTACCATCTTATTACAAATTTGTTATCACTACAAACACCAGCTTATTATTCATTATGAACTGGAAAGTACGCTAGTAATATTTCAGTAAGTACAACTTATTACCATGATTTTACCATTTTATTACTGACTTGTTACCGCTACAATTACTATTTTATTGTTTCATGACAACTACGAAATTGACATTTAATTTATGGATAAATACAACTCGTTACCATGATACTACCATAACATTACAAACTTATTAGTGATACCGCATATTCAGTATAGAAATGTTAGGTAACACTTTCTATGAATGTCACCTTTGTAAGCATCTATAAACACATTCATAACATGTTATAGTGCATTCATAAGACATTATAAACATAGCTATAAATATTTATAAAAATGCATTATACATTATAGCCATGTTTATTATGCATTATGAATTGTTAACATAATACCCATAATACCTTTCCCACATTTTACCCAATGTGGGAAAGGTAATGTACACCAGCATTAGCTTGGTATTTGTCTTTACGCTCTCCAAGCTGGGACTGACTTTTTTGGCACTGACATTATAACATGTCATTAACACTATTTATAATGCATTATATTAACAATTCATAATGTATAATAAACATGGTTATAAAGTGTAATTCAGTGTAATTCTTTTTTATAAATATTTATAACCATGTTTATAATGCCTTATGAATACAGTATAGCATGTTATAAATGTGTTTATATACGCTTACAAAGGTGACATTCATAGAAAGTGTTACCAAATGTTATTACCTATTACCATGGCAGTTATATCTGATTAGCATGTTGCTATGAATACTGCTGTGCTCCAGCTCCTCTTTAAAATAGAGGCCTGTTAGACCATGAAATAATATGGTTTTGTTTAGCAAAAAGCAAGAAGTATCTCAAAATGATGGATGTGAAGATAATTAGGATTAAACAGAACAATTAGGAATTATTAATCACTCAAAAAAATATCACAGCTGTGTGCAGTTTTATTTTACACTGTTACAACATTTTTATGACTGTGCTGCTCTTGTTCAATGTATTGATGTGAGTATTATGATGTTGTTTCAATATTAATTCAGGGATTCAGTCAAGAATCACCATCAGATTAGACACTGATTCAATGATGGTTAATGTCAATATAAAAACAAAAATACGAACAATATTATTAACAGAAAAAAATAATGACATATTTTTGTATATTCAGTATATAAATGTTATTACCTATTACCATTGCAGTTATATCAGATTAGCATGTTGCTATGAATCCTCTTTAAAATAGAGGCCTGTTAGACCATGCAAAAATATGGTTTTGTTTGGCAAAACCAAGATACATCTCAAAATGATGGGTGTGAAGATAATTAGGAATAAACAAAACAATTAGGAATTATTAATCACTTAAAAAAATGACCATAGCTGTGTGCAGTTTCATTTTACACTATTATAATCACTATTATTTAGTTGGATGCTTTAATAAAAACAATAAAGACAGATGTTGATGAACTTCACTTATTCACCCGAAAAAGTGGTGTAATTTAAATAAAACGTGAGTGTAAATCTTCCAAAATAACAGTTAAGCACAGTAACACTGTGTGTGTGTGTGTGTGTGTGTGTGGAGGGGTTAGTGTTGTGTAACTCAGTGGTCCAGCCCAAATAATATGTGCTTTGCTAGAATTTCCAGGTTACACGTATGTGATGACTCATGCTATTAAATATGTTATATTGTTATTTTGCATGTAAGGTTATATATTTTACACAATAATGAACTAAGAATGGAGAGTAACATTTTTATGACTGTGCTGCTTCTGTTTGTTTGTCAGAAACTTCAAAACCCTTTCAAACCATTTTCAAGAACACTGGAGTTCAGAGAGAAAGTAGGAGCCTCTTATAATCTCACTCTTCAGTTTCACAACATTCTTACCTGAACTCAGTAGATCTGTGACCATCTCTGAACTCTATAAATCTGTCCTCTGACTGGTCACTCTTTATGGACACACAGCTGGGTGCAGATGAGTCAGATCTCTTACCCTGATTCAGTCTAAAACACAAACAATTCCAGACGTCACCTGAAAATGTTCTGCACGTGTGTGTGTGTGTGTGTTTGTGTGTGAGAGTGTGTGTGTATGTGTGTGAACATACTTGTATACAACTAAACCGGGTCAGGAGTGTGTGCACACACCACCACCCACACAGAAACAAGGATTTATAAAGAAATGCTTTGAGAGAAATTGTGCTGATATTTATGGAAGCTTTAACTCATGTAGAGCCAATACACAACATTCTGCCCCCTGTGGTGAAGAAGGGACTTACAGCTAAATCCACACCCAGCTCAGTTTTTAATCTCAGTATTTTATGGTGTCAAGCATTAAAATAGAGCTCTATAGTTTACATACAGCAATTTAAACGTTAAACTGGGTTTTTAAAGTACACTGAGTTACCATATTCTCAATAAATCATATGCTTTATATGTCAATATTAAAATGAAAACATTATGAACAGATATAATAATGTGATATTCTGGAGAAACTCTATCCGTATGGTCGCCAGGAGTCGGAAATGCCTTGACAGCACTTAACAATAATAATAATTTCAGTGTAGAGATTCTGTTATTCCATTTACATTTACAGCATTTAGCAGACTCTCTTATCCAGAGCCACTTACAGAAAGTGCTTTGTCTATTAGAGAAAGTATCTTTGCTAGTTACAAACAGGATAGAGAGAAAGTTAGTCCTGAGCTCAGATACTGCTAGGAACAAAAACCCATGTTGATAATCAGAGAAAAAGGAACAGAATTAAACACAGCGACTATTAATAACTATCAAAGGCAAAGTATCACAGCTGTGGGCAGATAACTTTTACACTTCACTGATTGGTAAGAAAAAGAGAAAAATCTCTTTGACATTAAAATTTGTAGGGAGTATTTTGAAGGTCAAAATGAAAATGATTTCTCTTCAAATATCATTAATTAAAAGTACAAATATCCAGTTTCAGTATTTAAATTGTGTGTGTATATGTATTTGTTTATGTGTGTATGTCTGTGTACGTGTGTGCATATGAACCATGTAATGTTCTGTATTACACAGAATAAAGAAATATGAAAAAAGTATCACTTTTATGATCTTTATGATCTCACAAACTTCAAACCTTTGAACCATCCTGTAACATTTGACTAGTCAGCAGACACTCGCGGTTAAAAAAACACAAACAAAGCTTTACTTGTGGATTCAGTCAAGTATAACGTAGTCGGCAAACAGGCATGGGTCAGTTCCAATATAAACAGTAGTAGAGAAATGGCTACCATAACAGACAAGGGGAAAACAGAGCGAAGTCCAAAAAACAGGCGATGGGTCAAAACCATAAACAGAGTCAGAGAAAACGGAAAGCAGAAGGTCATACACACGATAGATAACAGGAAGAACGCTCAGTAGTTTCTCTAAGGAAAACAATACCTCGCAATGATTTTAGGTATAGCCCAGGCTAAAATACTATCTGAGTCATGTGACACAAATACACAGGTGCACAGCATCAGTATTCAGGTGATGTCGAACGGGGATAGCATGATGAGCATCTCTGTGGAGTCATGTGAGCTGGCTGAGGATTCTGGGAAATGAAGTCTGAGTCATTACTGGCCAGCGAAGGAAATAGCTCCGTCTCCTGATTCCCCAGTGTATTCTGGGGAATGTAGTTCGTTGGCTGATTAGCCGAATGCGTGACACATCCATTTTTTTTTCCATCAGAATCATCATTTTGGTCGAGGTTGTATCAGCATTGTGTTGTATCAACATTAAAATATCATTATCAATATATTAATCAATGTATTAATGTCAATATCATGATGTTGTTTCAATATTAATTCAGGGGTTCAGTCAAGAATCACCATCAGATTAGAGCACTGTTCAATTATGGTTAATATGGCAATATAAAAAACAAAAAATGAACAATATTATTAACAGAAATAAATAATGACGTGTTTTTGATGCATATTCAGTATAGAAATGTTATTACCTATTACCATGTCAGTTATATCTGGTTAGCATGTTGCTATGAATACTGCTGTGCTCCAGCTCCTCTTTAAACTATAATGGAAATAGAGGCCTGTTAGACCATGAAATAATATGGTTTTGTTAAGCAAAAAGCATAATGTATCTCAAAATGATGAATCTGGAGATAATTAGGATTAAACAGAAAAATTAGAAATTATTAATCACTCAAATTATCATAGCTGTGTGCAGTTTCATTTTACACTATTATAAATTTGGTTGGATGCTTTAATAAAAACAAAGACAGATGTAGATGAACTTCACTTACTGACCAGAAAAAGTGATGTAATTTCAAATAAACACGAGTATAAATCTTCCAAAATAACAGTTAAGTACAGTAACACAGTGTGTGTGTCTGTGTGTGCGTTTGTGTGTGTGTGTGTGTGTGTGTGTGTGTGCTCTGCTAGAATTCCCAGGTTACATGTATTTGAAGACTCGTGCTATTAAATATGTTATATTGTTATTTTGTATGTAAGTTTATATATTTACAGAATGATGAACTAAGAATGGAGTGAAACATGTTTATGACTGTGCTGCTTCTGTTTGTTTGTCTGTCAGAAACTTCAAGCCTTTGAACCATTTTCCCATCAAGAACACTGGAGTTCAGAGAGAAAGTAGGAGCATCTTACAATCTCACTCTTCAGTTTCACACCATTCTTACCTGAACTTAGTAGATCTGTTATCACCTCTGAACTCTATATCTCTGCCCATTGACTGGTCACTCTTCATGGACACACAGCTGGGTTCAGGTGGGTCTGATCTCTTACCCTGATTCAGTCTAAAACACAAACAATACCAGACAAACTGTCTTACAAGGTGGTGAACTAGAGAACAAACTCACTTTACACCAGATCACATTATTCTCTCACCTCTCAGCTTCCTGTGTGTCCTGTTCCTCAGAGAAACTCATTTTGGAGGTCATCTCTCTTCCTTCAGATCACACTGAATCCTGAAAACACACACACACACACACACACACACACACACACACACACACACACCGTTGAGTCTACATATAAGCTTCATCTGAAAGTTGTTCTCTTGAACACAGTTCTATTTTCTGTCTCTCCATGTCTAAAATGTCTTTAATAGTCATCTCAGTCAGTAAATTCTGGTAGCTATTAATAATTGTCTCTGTGCTTTTTTGCCAAACATTTATGATAATGTTGCCATAAAATGGTGGATAGTCAAAATTGTATTTTCCCTTTAAACCAGTTGGAAGGTTTGTGCAGGTTGAAGAGAGTGGAGTGATGTGCTGTCTGAACAATCACAGCACTCTCTTCAACTACTTACCTGAACAGGTCTGACTAGAGAAGTAAAAAAGAACCACGTCTTTAACAAAAACTGGAAATAATATTTTTGCCATCATGTAAGATGATTGATGTATAGAGTTCAATAATACTTGTATTTTCTTTAACCCCTTATTCTCCAGGGTATATTTTGGTTGGTCCATCTGAATTTATGTGACCAAATCATAAGGCAAATTATTCAGTAACTGCATGAAATAAATGCAAATTTTTATTTTATTTATTTATTTTTTTGTAAAGGCTCCCCTCAAATTAACAGAACACGTGTTTTATGATCACACATATTGCTATATACTTACAATTTACTGCTGAAAGCCAAAAATCTTACACGCTCTTTGTATTATTTTATAAAAATAATTGTTACAGAGCAGATCACTGAAGAGACACCATCTGTTTATAGTTTATAGCCCAGATTTGTGGAAAAATGGCTCGACTTTCAGTAGAATAAAAAGCTGTGAGTTCAGTTTTTATTATAAGGGTTTAAAACTACATCACCATCTATTACACTGGAAAGAAGACAGTTACGGCTCTCATACGACTCCCACCTTTTGAGTATAGCTTATAAAATATGAAAGTTATGAAGAATATGACAAAGTGTGCTAAACTATTGGGGTCCTGAATTAAAGAATCCAGGGGTCATATTACAGACATTTCTTATCTTTTTGTCTTAAGATCTGACAGGTCAAGATAAGATTTGGGAATCTTATCTTATCTTACAGCATCTTTTCTTATCTCAAGTTAAGAAATTTTAACTTACTCGATCAAAGTCGACAACTGTCACGTCTGTTACCTAGCAACTGACCATACGCGCACAGCTGAAATGTCAACACATAATCAAAGTAATCAAGCTAGTTAGCCAGGCAGCTAGCTATCATTACTGATGCAAATAACAGGTCAAACGAAACTAAACTGCAATAAACTGAAAGTTAAGGAGCTGTCAGGGCGCTTTGTGCTGTTTATCAGAGCGATGCCGCTCTACAGTTTCAGTTTTCCAAACACTTTAGCTGAGCGCGCTAAAGTTACTCCTCCTAATAAACAGACACATGTTCAGCTCTGTCTCCTCATTATTCACCACCATCTCTGTAATAGTGTATCTGACGACTTTTCATCAACATTAACACCCGGTTAGTAATAAGAGGGGGTGGTGGAGTTCGTGTCTGCAGCGTCTGGGCTTTTAAAACACTGTTTAAAAAACAAACTCGCAGGTCAGAGTACAGTTTTCATCGTAGATGAATGTAACGTCATTATGTTGGTTACACTGAACTATGATGCCAGTCACTGCATAAAACAATAGAAACAGACAATTAAAACAGAAAACGCTCTGGAGTTTATCTTAAAGTTAGAACAGAATTAAAGTAAATTTAGTTGTTAGAATGTTTGTGTAACACTTTTCCTATCTAGTTAATGGATAGTTTCTGTCCTAAATTCAGTCCTAATTAAAGTCGTCATGGTGACTAAACAGATAAAATTTCAGACTTAAGAAGGTTCTGTAATATGACCCCAGGTCTTTTCAGTAGGCTTCTCAAACGACTTACAAGAAATGGTTTGAATACAATGCTTGAATTTGAATGATGGCCAAAAGCCGACACAGACTTCCAGATTTCCCCACTAGAATAAACAAAGATGCTATTTCTTCAAGAACAGAGCTAAGATGGGTTATGTTACAGAAATACAGCGCCACATACAAACATATAGAGTACTGTGATCCTCTGGTCTTCAGGGTCTTTAATAGCAGCAGTCCTGCTGTTCACTATCAGACTCTCTGAGCTGCAATGTCTTTGTTCTGCCTCTGTGGCCAACTTGTTGCTGGCATCAAATTCAAAATGGGCATATATTTTTCAATATTTCTGTTTCAACGTCATATGTTGCCTTTATAATTAAATATAGGGTTTAGACATCATTCCCATATAGTACTCATATGCAGGATTTGCACATCGTTGCATTGTGTTTATTTACATTTTGCACAGCGTCCTAACATTTTCAGAAATGGGGCTGTAAACTATATGATTATTAGTAACTAGCAATCAACATGTACACCCTGTCAAGCTAACCACTCCTGAATGCTGCTTATTTTAGGCTAAATTTGCAATCCTGTTACCCATTTTTAACCCTTAATTATTTTAAAATGAAAATAAAATGAAAGTGGCTTGAAACAAAGATTTTAATAAAAATGTTTATTAAAACACTGTTTCAACTTTCCCTTCAGCTCTATGTTGTATAGAAGTTTTTACAACTGCATTAATATCACCCTAATAGGGAATATGTTCGACCCTGTTACCCAGTAGTCAACCTTGTTATTCAGTCATTTTTGGTGAAAATAGTCTTAAAACGTTTAAATTAGTAGGTTAAGATATCAGAAGGTTCCATTTGGAAATCAAGTCAAAGTTTATTTATACAGCACTTTTTATATCAGCCATTGTCACAAAGCAGCTTTATAAAACAATCTGGGTCCAAGTCCCCATGAGCGTCGCCAATGGTGACAGTGGCAAGGAAAAACTTCCTAAGAGCAAGAGGAAGAAACCTTGAGAGGAACCAAGACTCAAAAGGGGAACCCATCCTCCTCTGGTCGACACTGGATAGCAAACAATAACACAAGCAAAATGAACAGAGAATGAGGTTTTAATATTAGTGTAAAATATTGAAATACAGAAAAAGGAAAAGCAGGTGAAGCGATGGCTCTGATTAAACAGTTTGAGTCTGTGCATGCAGTATCATCAGGAGGGTCAGTTCATGCGGGTGAGGTTTGCACAGTGTTGTAAAGCAGGAAGATCCGTGGTGATCAAACCGGTCCAGAAGGTGGGTGAGCAGTGGACACTCGATCAAGGAAGGTGAAGCAACAGCATCAGACGCACAGGATGGGCAGCTGTTCAACTCGGCAATGAAAACACAGAGAGTTAGTTCTGTAAAGAGTGACTGATCACAGTATACAGTGCTAACAGAGGGCATGAACCCCAGATCTGCACCCTTTATGTATCAGGGAAAACTAATTACCAAAGGCTAAACAATTAAACATGACTAAACAAGTAAGTTTTTAGCCTAGACTTAAAGACTGAGGCTGTGTCTGAGTCATGAACATTGACTGGAAGATTGTTCCAAAGCTGGGGGCTTTGTATGAGAAGGCTCTCCCCCTGATGTGACTTTATTAATTCTAGGTACTAATAGTGAGCAGCACCTTGTGATCTAAGTAGGCGTGATGGTTCATAATAAGAGAGAAGTTCACTCAGGTTTTTAGAGCTTTATGTGTGAGTAAAAGAATTTTATACTCAATGCAGAATATAATTAACAACCAATGTAGTGTTGATAAAACTGGGCTGATATGGTCAAACTTTCTGGTTCTTGTGAGACTCTGGCTGCAGCGTTGTGGACTAACTGAAGCTTGTTAAGCCTTTTGCTGGGACATCACAGACGGCAGGGCATTACAGTAATCTAACCTTGAGGTAATAAATGCATCAACTAGCATTTCTGCATTTAGCAATATTGCGGAGATGTAGGAAAGCTATTCTGGTAATATTGGTTATATGTGCATTGAAGAACTGATCAGGATCTTTTGTGACACAAAGGTTTTTTACAGATGAACCTGATGCAACTGAGAAACTAGAGAAATTAGACACTTTTGAACCTCTGGTTTGTCTGATCAGGAGGACGTTACCTGACATCCAGTCTCTTGTCTTTTACACAGTCCTCAATCTTATCAAATTGAAGTTTATCATCTGGTTTGGTTGATATATATATATAACTGTGTCATCAGTGTGGAAATTGATGCCATGTTTACTGATATTGGTACCCATCGGTAGTATACACACTGCCTTGAAAAAGTATTCATATCCCTTGAACTTTTCCACATTTTTTCACGTTACACTCACAAACTTAAATGTATTTTATTGGGATTTTATGTGATAGAACAATGCAAAGTATCAAGTAATTGTGAAGTGGAGGCTAAAATTTTTGCCTATTCTTCTTTGCGAAATAGCTCAAGCTCAGTCAGGTTGGATGGAGAGCGTCTGTGAACAGCAATTTTCAAGTCTTGCCACAGATTCTCAATGGGATTTAGGTCTGGACTTTGACTGGCCCTTCTAGCACATGGATGTGCTTTGATCTAAACCATTCCATTGTAGCTCTGGCTGTAGAGCTGTTGTTCTGCTGGAAGGTGAACCTCCGTCCCAGTCTCAAGTCTTTTGCAGCCTCTAACAGGTTTTCCTCCAGGATTGCCCTGTATTTAGCTCCATCCATCTTCCCATCAACTCTGACCAGCTTCCCTGTCCCTGCTGGAGAGAAGCATCCCCACAGCATGATGCTGCCACCACCATGTTTCATGGTGGGGATGGCGTGTTCAGGATGATGTGCGGTGTTAGTTTTCCACCACACATAGCTTTTTGCAATTAGGCCAAAAAGTTCAACTTTGGTCTCATCTGACCAGAGCACCTTCTTCCACATGTTTGCTAAGTCCCCTACGTGGCTTGTGGCAAACTGCAAATGGTACTTCTTATAGCTTGCTTTCAAAAATGGCGTCTTCTTGCCACTCTTCCATAAAGGCCAGATTTGTGGAGTACATGACTAATAGTTGTCCTGTGGACAGATTCTCCCACCTGAGCTATGGATCTCCAGAGTGACCATGGGCCTCTTGGCTGCTTCTCTAATTAGTGCTCTCCTTGTCTGGGCTGTCAGTTTAGGTAGACGGCCATGTCTTGGTTGGGTTGCAGTTGTGCCATACTCCTTCCATTTTTGGATGATGGATTGAACAGTGCTCCGCGAGATGTTCATAGCTTGGGATATTTTTTATAACCTAACCCTGCTTTACACTTCTCCACAACTTTACCCCTGACCTGTCTGGTGTGTTCCTTGGTTTTCATGACGCTGTTTGATCACTAGTGTTCTCTAACAAACCTCTGAGGCCTTCACAGAACAGCTGTAGTTATACTGAGAATAAATTACACACAGGTGGACTCACTAATTAGGTGACTTCTGAAGGCAATTGGTCACACTGGATTTTATTTAGGGGTATCAGAGTACAGGGGGCTGAATATAAATGCACGCCACACTTTTCAGATCTGGGTTAGCTTCATAGGGCAGCAGGTTTGCAGAGGTTAACTGTGCATTCTGAATTTTTTTGCCTGACTGTTTTAACTTTATTATTGTAAAAATTCATATCATTGCTGCTGCAAGCTGATGGCATCTGGTTTCAGTGACTGATTCTTAGTCAAATTAGAAATGATGCTAAATAATAATCTTCAGTCAGAGAGAAGAGACAGGTTGAGCTTTTAAAGCTTGAGTATGATCATTGTACCATGGAGCTTTTTCTGCCTTATTGTTTTACTTTTTAAATTGAGGCACATAATTTAGAGTAGAACAAAAAAAAATACTAATATCATATTAAGTAGTTTCAGCCAGGCATCTGTGAGAAGCTGATAGATCTGGGAGGTTTCTGATAAAACTACTAGCTGTGTAGGGTGTTATAGTCCACTTAACACAATACCGTGTTGATAAGCATGTATTACAACTAAAGCAAATTTCACATGAGATCAGGTAATGATCTGAGACTGCTGTGCTCTGAGGGAGAACAGCTAAGTGATCTGTTTACACCAAAGGTCAAAATTAAGTCAAGCGTGTGGTTTCAACAGTCAGTGGGCCCTTTATATTTTGAGCAAAACCTACAGAGTCTAAGATAGATATAAATGCCTTAGTGGATCCTGTGGTTTGTCAAAGTGGATATTAAAATCTTCAACAATTATTACTTTATTAGAGAGCGTTATTGAACTTGATAGAAAGTAAGCAAATTCCTGTAAGAACGTAGATGTAGATTGTAATTAGTGTAAAATGAATTAGTTGTTCCTCAATCACTTATATTAAGCAGAAGAATGTTGAAAGAAGAGAATTTGTAGCCTGTTTTCTGGGGGGGCTTCATTTAGACCAAAGTATTCATCAGGTCTAATCCACGTTTCTGTGAGACACAGAGCATCAAAATCATGATCAATAATAATTCTATTTAAAATGACGGCTTCAGATGTAAGAGATTTTATGTTAAACCACTCTAGTTTTAGACCAAAGGTGCTGTCATTGCAAGTTGGTTTAACTGGTCTGATACTGATTAAATTAGTAGAACAAACTTTTCGAGTTTTTTTGATGTTTTGTTTTATTCAGGTGAACAGACACAGTCTCAATTGGGTGGAATCTATGTGGCATTTCAAGGCAGCTAGTAGACGGTTGGTTTAGCCTGTTTGTCTGCTGGCCTCGGCCCTGGTTTGTCAGCGACTGACTCCTACACTCATGGCTATCTGAGAGACTATGAGCGATGCTGCAGAAAATGAGAGCAGCCCCTCCCTTTTCAACTCAAGGGACCAGGCTTTCTCCTCAAAAACAGATAAATTATCTACAAAGCCCACATTGTTTTCTGAGCACCACTTGGACAACCAGCAGTTTAGTGACCATAACCTGACCATAACTGTGTGGGGGGGCAGAGCATATTATGCATTTTACAGCATCCATCTGGGCTAATTTGCACACCACTTTAATGTTATGTTTAGTTATTTCTGGCTGCCACAGATGAACATTATTAGTACCTACATGAATAACTATCCTCAAATACCTATGGCGACCTGGCAGCTTCAGGTTCCCTTTAATGTCCGGCACCCTGGCTCCTGGTATACAGCTGCTTGTTTAAGTACAACTTGTTTCGCAGCAAAACAGTCAACTGTTCAAAAGTTACTGAAATGAATTCACTCAAAACTCTCACTGGAGTTTGGCAGCAATTACATTTGCAACTATAAGAGTTTTGGTACATCATGTGAGCTGCATTTACAGTTGTTTTTGGAAAATTACAATTAAACATTCAGAAGTTGTCAAAATTAGATCATAAATCCTGTTTTCAAAATGTATTATTACGTGTTTTGGTGCGTCTGATATTTTTTATAAACTGATACAATCAGGGACACTCAAACTTTTCCTCATGACTGTATGTGATGTAGAGAGACGAGTCTTTCAGATCTGACTCTGATTTTCACTCAGCAGGAGCTGCAATTCATTAACCGTATAGAAATAATTCAGAACTCTTTTTGTTGACAACATGGAGGAACTAATTCAGTCAAGCGAGTCCAACAATGTTGTAATTACATTTCACAACTAAACCGAGTTGGAGCTGCTGGTCTTGGATGACAACAACGATCATTAGAGAGGATTAACCGTTTTACACGCAGCGATCAGATATAAAAGAGAGCCCCACCCACAGAAGCGGTCCGTCTCCTTCATCACTTCACCTAAAAGTTTTTTTCTGCTCTCAGTGTCTGAAACAGCTTCATCATCACATCATAAACTAAACTCAGGCTGTTAATCTTCAGTAATTACCTCTGTTCTTCTCTCCAAACGCTGTTTCTGATCCTCTCTTCACAGAATCGACGCTGCTGAAGATTCAGTTTCACTTTAATCGGTTTGGACTGGATCTGTCTGTTACCGCAGGAGGACGTGCTGGTGTTCCTTACAGGCTGAACAGCCTGACTGACGTGTGGTTTGACCAATCACAGAGCTCCCTGAGGCTCTCTGACTGAATAGTTGGGATTCAGCCAAATAATCTGTGTTTAGAGAAAACAGGAAACATCATGTTGATTCCAGCTGTAAAATCTCCCGATGAGGATCATATACTGGCTTTACTTTTCTGATTTTTTGTGAGTGAAAAACTTCAGCCAAGTCCTCATTTTACAGACTAAACACTGCAGTAAACACTTCAACACATACAGCTCACAGTAAACTGGATTAAAACAGGAAATGGGAAAAACAGAGGAACTGACCACAACTTAACTGGGTAAAAGTGATAATATGAAGAAATTCAACCTGATATTTACACTACAGACTCACAAACACCATCATTATTAATAAACTGATCAATATAGCTGCGTTTGGAACTGCAGGCCATGATTTCTGTAGGAAAGAGAAACATTTACTGACTTTATTAGCATGTTAGATTGGTAAATATAGAGAATGAATGAACAGAAATGATTCAGGATTCAGTTCTAAATGAATAAAATAATGCAGTAATGAATAAATGGAGATTATACAGCTGTTCACTGCTGTACATTTCAGTTTGAGATTGTATGATGTTCCCATTATTTCACTGCATTTCAACAGCAGCCTTCATCTCACTCTTCAGCTCCCAGTCAAACACATCACACTGTCCACTCTTCTAGATCATTCTGAATGGAGTTTAAATGGTACTCAGTAATGAGTTTGGGGGTCTCAGTGGGATGTGGGCTGCTGTGAGTTACAATGAATAAGATTAAAATAAAATAACACTGAAAAATTAAATAATACAACTGAATTTGCTCTTTTAGCTAAAATATTTAAATAGTTATATTAAAGTTTTGTGGTATTGTACTGAATATATGACTATTATAATCAATAAGAAATCCATAATCATATGCTAAAAAGTTGATTAACAAAAGTGTATTAATCCTCTCACTAAAGATAGGCCATGCTGTGTGTAGGTTAGGGGATTTTCTCATGAGAAAGTCCCTGAAGTTCAGAAGCATCTAGAAGGCAGTGTACTTTGTTGTGAGGGCAAGCTGACCCCCAAAGAGTGAGGTAAGCTGATAGGGAACCAGTCATAATCAGTTTTGGAACCAGGTTAATAAGGCAAGAGCTAATTGGTAGCCTTGGTAGGATGGGGGCAGCCTGGGATAGCTGAGCATGGAAAGCTTTTAAAAATAAGGACAGGTGCAGTTGGAAATAAGGGTTTCCAACTGAAGTGTAGACTTAGGAAATAATGGGAACCAAAATGAAATGGGAAAACGTGAGAGGGAGGGGGCAATTACTTCATCGCCCCCAAACAGGATATAAAAAACAATTTTTCTGTGATGTACTTTGCATTTGGCTGTCCGGAAGCCATCTTGCCACCTGAAGCTTAATAAAAGAAGAGAGGCTTTTCCTTCCTTCAAAAAGAACTCAACGGCTGAAGTCTTTTATTCAACTTTCTTTTATTTTTGACTGAGAACAAGCAATTAGATTTATAAAAGAACTGAAACATAGTTATACAACAGATTAGTGTTTAATTATCCATATGTTGGGGCTCTGAGCGAGCGTGAATCGCACCTAGTCCCGACATAAATTGGCAGCCATGTACGGGGACGAGTGACGAACCTGACAGATCGTTATCAGCATCAGATTGCTAGGACTGCCATCGTGCGCCACCACGTGACTCTGTGACAAAAGTCGGTCCACAGCGAGCGCTCGAGAGAAAAAGGTAAGTTATAAAAGTTCTGCTATATATGTGTGAACAGACTTTGCTTACTGGGTTATGTGGTCACTTATATTAAATGAAAATACTTTAAAGACAGATTTTTAACTGTGTTGAAGAGACAATAGAGTGATAAGGGTAGTGAGCCGTATAAGAAGGGAGGAAAATGTAAAAGAAAAAAGAAAAAATGATAAAAAGGAGTAACAGTTAGAAAAGACCGAGTGGACAAATTAAGCAGTTTTATGTTGTGTGTGAAAATAGTATAGTGATTGGAGCGAGCCGCTGGTTGACAAAAAACAGTGTACGAAGAAAAAAAAAAGCGCGCCAGTGAAATACAGAGACTGTACAGAGACTGAGATAAAGATAAAAAGCATGCTACAGAGAGAAAAGCGCTGAGAGATAAATGTTGTGTGTATGTCTGTGTGATTTTGTCTTGATGTGTGGCCATGAATGTTAAGGGGGATAAAAAATGAAAGGTTACTGTTTAATTAATTACAGAGCTATGAGAAGATTGGAATGTAGAATTATACTTTATGTAGATGTCGAGGTAACTATTACAAGCTTGAGAAATTCTGAGCAAGTTGTGTATGTATACATATCAGTAAGAACTGATGAAATGCTTTTAATACCAGCAACACAAGAATATGTACCAGCGCTGTCATTTAAAGCAATAAAAATACGGTTGTTTGGGAGAAAGAGGAGAGGATAAATGATTGAGGTACTTGAGGTGAAGTATAAGAGTAGGATTACATACAAACAGTTGACAATTATTGTGATGGCCGTTACGAGTGTCAATCTTAGTGGTGTTCGTGAATTTGGGCTGAGAAAGTGGAAACTGGTTGAGACTTGGATAGGACCCAATCTTGTCCATGGTAACAGGGCGTGGTTGAGCTAACATATGAATAGAATTCTAGGTGTGACGATAGACAGCAGAGTAATGGGGCTAGAGTATCAGTGATCTATTAATAGAAACGCGGGGAATTTGCACACACTTCTGGCTTGAGAGAACATATAAAGATAAAGGAGGAAGGGAGTACTGGCAGTCAGATACGTTAATTAATAAAAAAAACTGTGGAGATTAACGCAGTGGGCTGATTGGGACGAAGTTCAGGCAGTGTTTCCAAGTCATAGATTAAAGGACAGGATAAAACGAGTTTGGAGCAAGGATTTTTTTCGGCACCAGTGTTAGATACTTGGTTGACTAGTGAGGAAGCATTGGAGGCTGTACTTAAAATAGATAATTTACCATGGGGTCCCTTCGGGCCCCCGGAAGATGACAGTCAATGTAGAGAGTTGGAAATTTGCCTCTGGGTTGAGAAGAGAGAGGTGCTGTGGGAAAGAGGATCAGCAATGTCCATATTGAGGAATGGAATTAATGATTTGAGGCTATATCAGCATTGTGAGTTGTTAATGAAATTAGGTACCACAGGGTAAAATAAATGCAGTAGTGAACTGGAATGGAGCTCTAGTTTTGGGTCGTGAGGGTATGCGTAAAACAGCACAGGGAGAGAAGTAGAGAAAGGAGGGGGGAATTGCATGCTTGCTAACAGCCCCTCCCGTGTGGAACACAGCAGTCTCCACCCTCACACAGTGAGCTTCAAACACAGACAGCATTGATTCATAAGGAGGCTCAGGGTATTAATTCATAAAGTAAGATCAAAATGGGTAACAAATTAGCTAAACTTGAGCAACCAGGACAAATTACACCTTTTAGCTTAATGCTCTCAAAGGGCATTGCATCCAGGAGAGTTAAAACAGTGCATGAAAAAATGGAATAAGTTTTGAGGAAAACCAATGGCCTCTTAGAGGTTTGATACAGACTTATGCGGTATGGTAAAAAACGTAGAGGAAAAAGGCACACGGAAGACACAAGCTCAATTAGTTGAGGACCAAATTAAGTTAATGACTGCTGGAAAAAAGGTTAGGAGAACACAGGCCCAGCTCATTAAGAAGCAACGAACCGTGAGTTCACACACACACAAGCACTTGAAGGACAGCAATGAATCTAGTACAGTTGGAGCACACACACACAGACCACTCCCAGTCTGCACAGAGAGGCTACAATACAGATTATTTTACTAATTAAAGGAAAGTAAATATATTGTGGGAAACACACCAACCAAGTTATAACAAAAGAAAGAAGTAACACCTTTCAGTTTGTTAGCTAAAGGTATTGTATCAAGGCTTAGCAGCATCATTCACATATGATAAGGCAACATCCATAACAATGTAATACACGTTATTAACATCTTACTCTTTTGTGTTGACTAATGTTAGACAAACAGGATATGACATAATTCCTTCAGCCCTGAACTGACAATACAGAGATGCTCCAGAGTGAATCCAGCTGAGAGGTTAGCTACGCCTGAAGAAGGTATACCACATCATTGTGAATAGTTAACCACAAACTTCTTAAAACCTGGAGAAGATTTATATAGTGAACCACTATCGGATAGTGAGTTAATTTTGTTTGTGGGTGGATCATGTTTAGATTTGCATATGGCACAAAATTAGTTCTGACAATGGCAAACACTTTGTCAATAAAGTTATCACAACAATCACACAGGCATTACGCATCAAGCGCAGACTTGGATGTGTTTATCATCCACAATCACAGGGTATGGTTGAATGCCAAAATGGTGTTCTTAAGGCCAAAATTGCTAAGTTATGTGAAGCAAGTGGACCACGAACCCATGCAGCAGCCCGCAAGGAATTGAGGCCTCCTGTCAGAGAGGACAGTGACGGCCCGGACTCTGAGCCAGTAGACTTAGATCCACCGTCTGAATCAGAACCAGAACCAGACTCACCAGACACAGACTGAGGTAGGATTCAGGCTGCACAGAATGTGCAGGAGCCCAGTTGAGGTGGTAAGAGTGCTGATAGGGCGTGCCCGCACTCTGAGCACCAATATACTACAAGAAGGATAAATGCTCCCCCTGCTTGCAAGAATCCTTCACACACACACATACACACATTAGCACATACATATCCACAAACATGTTGCAGATTCTAGTTTTATTGTTAGCCATCACGCCCCTTATCAATGGCACGGTGTTACTTTGACTATTACTGAGGGCAACACCACCACTTCTAACTTTGACTTTTGTTCAGTAGTTTCTTGCTCAGGTGCTGCTTATGCCCAACAGTTGATAACTGCAGATAAATATATGTGTGTCAGTTCTACATATCAGCATGACCCTTCTTGGGTCTGTAGGCAATGGGATGAAGTATGGTGGAACACAGGTGTTAATGGTTACACTTACAGACAGTCTACATCCAAATG